AATTTCATAGCGCATCTAACTGCCGTCATTTTGGTTGCTTTTAGAAATTGAGTAATGCGAAAGACAGTTTGTCGACGAACACATTCTGTCTTTCGGTTACTATTTAAACCCCTTTTTCTACTAATTGCTTGTCAAAGTAAAAACTTTAAGTCACCATTTCTGTTTTTACAATTTTACATTTTTGTGGTTTAATTCACTATTTGTACTAAAATATAGGTTCTCCCGGATACATAACTCGAGCCACCTCTCATGTTTGTCGTATAGGGCTAGAATACAAAAATAGTGTTATCATCCAAGAAAAAGTTTTCCCCCGGTTTTGCAAATCCAAATTCCCAACAAGGACTTATGGAAAAGACGTTTAGTATACTAGTTTCAAAATCGCATAATAGTTTTTGATCAATCAAACATTGTATAAGCTTGTGACGGTGTGATCTCCTTACACCGTCATGTCACGTCTTTGTATCGCCTCTCTCTGCTTGTATCCTATCATATTTTTTTTTACATGTATTTAAATTTAAAATTTAAATTGTCCCACTTTCGTTCACTTTCTCATTTTGTTTTCGTAGCACGGTTACTCTCAGCTCGACCGCCACAACAGTCGGAGCTGTTTCAAATTCCATTTACTAAAATCTTATTTTTGATTCGTTACCAAATTATAATACAAACCATATAATACAACAGTCGGAGCAAAAGAATTATCAAAAATTTGCTGCAATAGTTTTTCGACCAAAAAATGAAGCCATAAACCCGGATGTAATGGTGCCGCCATTGAAACCCTGGCTATATCACGAATATAAAGATTTGTACAGACGCTTGCTGGCGCTTTTCAAGCTTAGGACACTTAATACTGAAAATGCGTGGTGACTCGAATTATGTGTCCGGAAGTGTACATGAAACTGTCATTTATTTAAACATTGTTTCTACCGATTACTTGTCAAATTAAGACAACATACTACTATAAGTACTACGTTTAGCTCTCCTAGTTGTTACTTTAAATTTATTTAAAAGAAGTTTATACAAGGGTGCTGCAAGAACCGTAACGAGTGTTATTTTGTTTTAATGACCTACAATTAACATTTCCAAGCTAGTGTGCAATATTTTCACAAAAATGTTAATTATGACTGTTTATGAATAATGACGGAATTATGACAAACTTATTCGTTTATTTTTTTTTAATTTTTGTATTTTTAAGATTAAAATTATGAACGTGTAACATTAGATGTCTTGTATTAAGGACACCTTGCTTAATTACAAAATTGAAATAATTGATCAACAACAAAAAATGTGTATAACATACCTAGTAACTTAAGTATAGATTCGCAAGATCACGTCATCGAAAAACTAAATCTTAAACGACAAAATACGCAAGATATTTCAAATAGTTATTAAAACTGTACATATTATTATGAAGCACGTGAAGTACCAAAGTTATAGGTAAGTGGTTAAAGAATAGCTATATGTAGATCATCATTATATTCGTCAAAGAAACTTCCCCCCGTAACGTTTTCAAGGGCACAAAACACGAACGGTAAGTTTGCAATGAAGATTTCGAGCGTATCACAAAGCACCCTAAAGAATAGACAAGACTGATGTAACGGTCGTCTGCAGCTCGCACGTGCTAAGGCCGGCTGCGTCTTCGACAGAAAAAACAGATAAGTATAAGCCAGAAATAAAAAAATCCATTCGTCACCTAAATAAATATTACTTTTACTCTCGTACTTTTCTTTGTACAACACGTCGGTACTGGTTAAAAGAAAATCTACACAAATACAAAGTTTAAAAGTCCATTAAATCTCGAGTAAATAGGCAGGGGCATTATTAATTAAGGCGGGGTACACAGAGTAGGTCCATTGATGGCGGAGTATTTCAACGAGAGCCTTTATTTTAGGACGCGAGATGTGGGGGAGCGAACGCTCGCGTGCCGCAATCCGCGCGCTGAAAATTAACGTTATGAATACAGTAAGAACAGGTGAAAACAAATTGACACAAGCCTCCGATGGTGACTGACGGGGCAGAATGAAGCGCGGAGCGTCGTCAAAGCGCTGGGCAATTTCCAAATTTTGGGATAAATGTGAATTTAATACATAAAGGGCTTCACTCAAAAACCAAAATTTAGCAGGCTCTCTGAAGTACTTACAGATAAATAGCCCCATATAAAAAATATCTACAAAGTTATATATTTTATTCTTAGATAATTCGTTTAAGATTTTTATTTAAGCCTGTTTTCAGGATTTTATATGATCGGGCGAAGTACATCCTATCATGTAACAAATTAGCACATTCTTTAGATAATATCCTTAGGTGAATCGTGTATTTTTGTAATACCGTTATTTAATCGCAGGTAACCCAGTGTTGAAATGTGATTATCTATTGATATACCTATTTGTGATTTTTATTGCTATAATATATAATCTTACGTACATTGTTTGTATTATTGTTTAAAATCCCTGGAGTAATAGTGTAGCGTTACCTTCAACTTTATCATTTCCGTTCACGATGTTACTTTACCTGGAACGATATAATTTTTTATATCGTCTATTATTAAGTTTGTTCAATGATAACCAACGCAACGGTTTGAAAGAAATCGATTATTTTCTTTGCAAGCGCATCATTCACCTCTTTGTCAAAATTTGGAGCATAACGGTTGTATTGTAAGTTGTAACAATGATACACAATAGAAAGGGTCTTCGCAAACATAGCGACACCGTCAACGTAGATAACATTAAAACACTACGACCAGGCTGTTACCTTACCATTTCAATAATTTTTTTGGAATCAGTAAAAAAACATCGACTAATAAGTACAATACCTAAATATTGTTACAGGAAAAAAGTGTCCATACCATATCAAACGTTTTTCATCAGTGAGGCCCCGATGAGGCTTTTTTTTTATTTATTTTTTATTAAGGCTTTGGCAAAGCCATCAGCCTAAACATGAAGTTTAAATATGTTTCTGTAAATATGGCCGCCACAAAGAGGATAGGCAATTTGAGGCGGCGCGTGCTTGGATTGACTCGGGATTCCTTAAAACGGGCCGATACGGGTATTTTAGTTCGAGATTCGTATAATTTCGCGTTTTAATCTTCGATTAAGGCACAATAGCACTATCCTATTCCACTTTAAACTAGATTTCACAAAATAACTGAAAGTCAAAATAAAAACGACACTTTTCCCTCCAAAAGGTCCAGAGCGAATCTCCCGATGAGGCTTTAAAAATTGCCGCGCAAAAATATTTGTTTTTTTTTAAATTTATTGAGCATTGGCTACGAGGTCATCAGATTAAAACTACAACAAAACAAATAAATTAATTAACTAAACTTAAACACTAAAACGTAATAATATCCGCGCAAAACGAACGTAGCAAAGCTAAATGGCTAACATTTTGACTGGGAATCGAAAATGAAACAAAAATCGCTATCTTTGTTTCATTTTCGATTCCCAGTCCTTATGCAACTTTGAATTTAACTTTCTCTTGTTGACTTAACACAACAAAGCTATCAACATTACTTTTTGCAAAATATGCAGTTGTTGCAACGTATGCAGCCTCTTAAAATTGTAGGATTCAATTAACTTGATAGAAAAATGAACTGAAGTTTAAAATGTAAGCGTGGTTTTTGTAGCTACAGTGTCTACCCAAATTAACTTTGAGTTTATTTCTACTATTACTACGTTTTTGTTTCATTATTTTATTTTTGTTATCTTTTACAAGAAGCGTTTTTTGCTTGGCTCTATAGCCAACGCCCAATAAATAAAAACTAAACGTTTTGACATTGACAGACATGACATTTCTGTAGGGATGCACGATTTTTTGCTTTGAATCGATTTTTTGGATCGTAATCGTTCCACTATTCTCAGATCTTGATTTCTTCTGAACGTACATCACGTGACAAACCCACGGCTCCATTAACTCTGTTTAAGGCTTCTGTAGTTTATTTTGATATAATAATAATTCATATAATGAATACACCGAATATATTTTATTCAATTATAACCTCCAAAACTTCAAGTTAGAATTTTTTTAATTCCAGACTTCTTAGAATAGTAACCCTAAAACCAACTTCGTACAAGAATTTAATATATATATATATTTATCTCTATATTTTCACACATTTTTCACAGACAGACATACACAAATTATGTCAATATATTTATGTGGGAGTTCGGAATTTTTCTTTGTGTTTGTAATAAGTAAATCACATAAATAATTTTGAAAGCCTTTCTGCCCTCATTTGTTACGACTTCCATTTATAGTGATTTTACTTGATGTTGCCAAACTACTTTTCGTACAGACTAAAATAAAATAGGAATGGCCTTTCGATTTACTAGCAGTTTCGAAGGATAATGTTTAGTTATAATTAAATACGATCTAGACGATTCGATTTGCTTCAATGTCGAATCGATTTACTTAAAAATCACATTGAAGTCAATCGATACCAAAAATAGCTAGATCGTATACAATTGAATCGATGTTCATAAAAATCGAATAGTAATGTGCAATGGTGCCTCCCTACTTCTGATTTCGCTCCACAGAGTAATTTTTCTTTCATTTTTACTCATATCAAAATGCATTGTTTTGCTTGTTATTGCTTTCATTTTTTTAGAATATTGTCTGGTAAATTCAACTTTTATTAGCAAGTGAATAATAATTTTATGAATACCAATTATTAATGTAAAAGACTATTGCATATAGGTACATATATTTTTTGTTCGTATTTCATTTTCCATATTAAAATATTTTCTTAATTCAAAATTAGACTGTTTTATATCTTGTATAAAACAATCTAATTTTGATGGAAAGTCCTTTTCTTAATGTAATAATAGACATACGGTTCAAATTCCAATATTTGTTTTCCATATTGCACAGTTTATGTACCTATTCTGTTCAGTTTGATAAAAAAAAGTATGCCAAAACCTTGCGAAAGGCGATTTAGAGTGCGTTCCCGATTGGGAAATGCTGTCTGTAACTGTATGTGTAATTAATTCGTTATCCTTTGATTTCAGATAAACCGCCTACAATACAGTCAAAAAATGGAAGAAACCTTGGATACAATAACAGAAAAGCTCAAGCATAGTTCTATTTCACCAAATGAGCAGCCAGTGCCTGATATTGTGTTTCATGACACCATGAACAAAGACCTCTTGTCAAAATGGCCTAGATTCAAAAATGTTGTTCCTGACATACTATTGCATAAAACTATTGATTTTGCTCAACACGTTAAAGAAATTCTTCGTATGAATATTAAAATATATCAGCCCTATCTAAGCACTAATTATACTAAAATACCCAGCTACAGCATAGCGGATTTTAAAGCTGTACAGCAATACTTTGACAAAAATCATTTGCCATACCATACATTCTCAATTCCAAATGAAAAGAAACTTAGAGTAACAATCAGAGGTCTCCCAAAAGATTTAAACTTGAATGAACTGTTTGAGAAACTCAGATCTGCTAAAATTCCTGTAAAAAGGGTGCATAAAATGAAAGTAAAATCATTTGCATTAGAACAAGCACCATTAATCTTAGCTATTTTACCTTACAACAAAGAAGGACTGAATATATTGAGAGTTAGGAAAATACTTGGCCATGATGTTACTTTAGAACCACCAATTAAGAAGCTAAGACAATGTCATCGATGCCAAAAGTGGGGTCATGCACAGCGTTACTGCCATGGACAACTCAAGTGCGTGAAGTGTGCTGGAGACCATTACAGTACAACCTGCTCCAGAGATCGTAACAGTAGTGAACCACCAACATGTGCAAACTGTGGGGGGAACCACACTGCAAACTATAGAGAATGTTTTTATTGTCCAGACTCAGAGGAATATAGACAGAACCGGGTGAAGAGATTAAAATATAAAACAGAAACACCAAGGTTTCCACGTCAGTTAGTTACCTGGGAAAATGTTGACACAAATCTATACAAACGAATCACTAACATACCAAAGCATGCTGAGGCTATACCATTTTAAATGAAAAGATTTTTATTATGTCCCAATATTGTATTAGTAATTGTATATTAATTTGTAGAGGGTGTCATTTTTACGCTGTACACTGATATTGTGACAGGTTTATATTTTTCTGATGATAAAGAAGATGCACCTCGTACTGATTATATTGATTTTAATATTATATGTAGGTATTTAAGACTTTTTGTTTAAAAAAATAAGACTGAATTTATTACTCGCTTAGTCATTGCAAAACTGTGCTATACATTATTATTTATATGATTTTTCATTGTTTTTTTGAAGTTTTTAAACTTTTGGAATGTTAAGCTGAATGGTATTTAGTTATTACAATTATAAGATTAATGTGATATCATGTAAAACTCCAATCTAATTTTAAAAAGTCTATGCATTGATGTATTGATGTAAATACTACCATTGTATGGCATGTGTTTACTTGAATACACTAAGATGGGACTCGTCGAAACGTAACCTTTTGGTCAAAGAACAAAAAGCATTTTGTGCAGATTTCCCTGTTTTGAAATAGGCAAAATTTAAAACCTCATTACTTGTATGTACATATAGCCTCGCAGCAGAGGAAGTTTTATCGTATTATGTGACTTTAATGTGATAGAGCTTAAAGTATACGTGAATATCAAATGAAGCAGAAATGTAGGGATGCACAATCAAAGTGAAAAATTCTTGAAGTATATTGTAACAGCGCCCTAGAACTCTGCACCACCTTTTATTATTATCTAGCCAATCATAACACAGCAGACATGTTATACTGATATTGTCTCGTTTCTTACATTACACATCTATCATATGTTATCCCTTTCACACAATTTGTTGGTAGGTCAATGACTCAATCCTTAAAATTATTTTATTAAGTGGTTTTGGAAATTTAGGCTATACTCGTATATTGTTCTAACAGCACATGCAAAGTGTTCATATTAAGATTTTCACATGCTACTAGTAAGTACTTGAAATTGCAATTTAAATTAAACAATAATTATCAGCGCTAAATTGTAGTAAGTACTGTAAAATTTATTAATAGTTGCATGGTTTAGTGTAAACAAAACCGATGTGCTGATCTCAAATCACATTTTCAGTATATTTATAATATCTCTAAGCTACACTACTACTAAAAGAAAGTCATGTATTGGTTAGCAACCAATAGCTATACGAGTATTAATTAGCTATTTAACTTGTGATAGAATTATTTTGTAGAAAGTATTGTAATCAATAAAAACACTTGATTAAGAAAAATATAGTTTTTATATTTTGGGTATTTGTAAAAGGTATCTTTTTACTTTTGCATCTTTACAATATTATGAAAATGAAGAATATGTATGTATGACATGGTTCTTTAGAATTGAAATTATATAAACAAATCTCATTTTCAAACATAGGTAGCCTCTTAGAATAATAACGCATAGAATGATAGTTTCATATCAAACGAACTGTCACAAGTGAGGCAAAAATCAAATTCATGTAGGCTAGTTTTAGTAGTAGGTTCATTTTCGGTTTTAGTGAATATTTATATAAAAATACAAGTTGAAACGCGTTACTTCCTTGTGGAATGTGATGTTAGTATCTATTTTATGTTTGTCTGGCGTATTTTTACACTCATTTACCGCTCATTTCGTCATTTTTAGCTAAAATTCTTGATCTGTTCGCGGTGCAAGCTGACCTTGAGCACTGAAGGCCCGCCCGCTCGTGCAGGCCCATTGGGCGCGCTTCAATTTGCCTCACTTAGCGTGTGCGGACTAGGTTTCTATGCGTTATTATTCTAAGGGTAGCCTATACAAAATAGTTAACATTTAAACACAAAACCTAATTACAATAAAACTTATATTAATTACACCTAATTCCATATTTACATTTAATATTCGAAAAATACTATAATGTACCTACATAGTAAGTAAAGAAGAAGTTAACCTGCCGTTTTAACTGTTTGTAGATGACTATTTCTCAATGCGTCACTGCTTTGGGTGTTATCGTTGATAGGTGTCACGCGGACCTGAAGGCAAGAAAAAGAAATTAAATATATGTAAATAACTTACGTGTTCATCTGAAGAAATTTCGTTGTCTTACTTTTGTAGATTGAAACAAACTTATGTAATAACAAGGAAGTATCATTAACATTGCAAGTGCATTGTGGGGTAGTTTCATAAAAATTTAATTTCATAAAATCGATACAAATTCTCGAAATTCGAGAAATATTCTGCTACTTAATACATACGTATAACAGTGGCAAAAGATTGACATTTGAACAAAACGATGTAGAAGTTAGGTAGTAAATTGTACAGACAGCAGCACATCAAGCTGCAAATTGACAGATCTTGTTCGAACAAAATTGTGTGACTACAATCCGTTTTTCGTTCAATACCCTAGCATTTACTTAAAAAACTGCTATATAATAAATGCTCTTTCTTTCGTATTTCGAATAACACATGCAATTTATATGAGAGAAACAAGAGATCCCAAGGTTGTCGGTTACGTGTTATGAACTGCATTTTATATACAATTGTGTGGTCCGACAATTGACCCCCCTAAAAACGTCATACGCCATAAGGTATGTTTACTTGCGAATTCACATAATGTATGTAATTATTTACCTCAAGCGTGAGATTGCTGACGGGTCTACTCTGGCCATCGAGCTCAGCCAGCATCCTGTCCAGCGTGTCGACTAATCGGTCGGCGTCCTGTGTGCTGAACACCATCGGTGGCTTGAATTTTAGCACGTTGCTGTCTGGACCATCGCGGCTTATCAGGATCTTCTCTTCGCGCATTCTGAGGAGAAAGAAAATAATTGTTATAAACGAAGGAGATTTTGTTATTACCCCGAAATAAAGAATGACTTACGGGATAATAACTTAAACTATAAAATACCACAACATAAGTTTCAAAATCTAATAATTTGTTAAGAGAGAATTCGTAAAATACACTATTATACAACATCCGAGATTTTTCAATGTACTAAAACAAAATTACTCTGTACATGGAATGGTTGTAGGTAATTTAAGTTTTATATTTGTTTTGCGGATGTATTTTTACATCAAAAATAATTTATTTTTCTCGATTCTCCACATTCGTATTACTTTGATAATATTAGCATTAAGAAGTCTGTTATAGAATTAAGCCCTTTACTTTAGGTCAGGTGTCAAAAGCCTAAAAGTGAGATACCAATAGAAAGCAGTAAGAGTACACATAAAATTGTGTCTAAATTGTATGTATGTATGTATTATTATTATTAGTAGTAGTAGAGCTCCTTGTGAAAGAGTTCGTCCAGTGAAGTACTGCCACGTTTTCGGTTTTTCGGTTTTGATGGGTAAGGGTGCTTGCTGGTGAAATTACAGGCACATGGGACTTGTCAACTTATGGCAGGCACAGTGGCAGTAGCAGGCTCTAAGTGACACTGCAACTGCAGACAACGACAACAGACGTGTCGCTTAACACCAGGCGCACGATTTGTTCGTCCTGTCACTTGTTATCACAAAAAAAAAACTCTACGAGGTGGGGCAGACAAGTGATGAAACTGATTTTTTATTTACCAAAGTTTTTATTTTTTCTAAACATCAATGTTATCCCCTTCAAAGTAGTTCCCTTGGGTAGCTACTGTAGTCTAGGCTCTACTCTATGAGTATAACTACTGGCTGAGTGAATATAGTTTTGTATTTAGAATGTGTTTAAAAAAATAGGATAGAGAAAAAGAACATCTTGGCAGATCTAAAAGTAGCCTCCAAAAGCGAATATGTGAAGAACACAATGAATATCTAATTTTGAAGATTATCCCAGTTTATATTTATAAAGTACCTCTCGCTACGCGACCTGAGCTACCCCCTAGGTTACACTACACATTGATGGAGACGTAGTTCCCATTGTTGGTAGCAGCACTGGAAGTCTTCAACCGGTATGGTCTTCAGCATGTCCGTCACACTCTTTTGGAAGTTTGGATGTCTTTTGAAAGTCACAGGGACTGAGGTCAGGTGAATAGGGAGGTGGGGGTCCTTGAAAGGCTCAGAAAAAGGGTCATTCGCGTGAGATCAGACATTGCAGACAAATGGATGCTCCATCATGACAACACCCCATGTCACACTGCCCTCTCCATAACATAATTTTTGACCTTAAAAGGCAATCCTGTGGTTCCCCAGCCCCTCTGTTCACCTGACCTCAGTCCCTGTGACTGTTTCCTTTTTCCTAAACTGAAAAATGTCCTCAAAGGACGTCATTTCGGGACTTTGGAAAACATCCAAAAGAGTGTGATGGACATGCTGAAGACCGGTTGAAGACTTCCAGCGCTGCTACCAACAATGGGAACAACGTCTCCATCGGTGTGTAGCTGCCCAAGGGAACTACTTTGAAGGGGATAACATTGACGTTTAGAAAAAATAAAAACTTTTGTAAATAAAAAATCTGTCTCATTACTTTTCTGCCACAACTCGTATAATCGAAGACTTTTTATACTTCTATCGCAATTTCGTATTATTTTGGTAATATTGGCATTAGAAACCTAGACGTTATGATGTTCAAAAGAAGTAAACTATTTGGACAGTTCAATCGATAAAAATCTAAAAGCGATGAATGAATTTTTATTTGGTTGTCATTGTCTATTTGGGTGCCTGAAGATTGAGAATCCGGAGGCAGTAAATATATTTAGAGTACAAAAGATACGCGGGGGTATAGGAAAGAGACTGTGAAAGCGAATGATAAGGGATCAGAAGTCCCTGTTAGTTAACCAGGAGGACCGAATTGAGATCGAGGAGCTATTGGCAATGATATCAAGTGCTACGATATAAAAAGAAGTAGAAAATGTATATGGGTGACGGATTGATACTCTTATAAAACTTGTGATAAAAAAGAATGTCATTTGATTATTATGGATCAAACTTTGACATCAATATTCAGCTAGGATTACACCTTGTCAGCGAGTTGATGAGTTTAGACAGTTTTTTGAGTCAGTGTTTGGTTCTCACAATGGCCTGAAAATTGAGTATCAGTAATTAAATTTAGTCAGTAGTGGTCAAGTCAAATCCTTTATTAAAGAGACGACGTCAAGCTGGATCCAAAGCAATATTAAGCTAATTGTAGCAGTAAAGCTGCTTGTGAAAGAGTTTATGCTTTACCTATTTCTGACGCCAAGCAGTAATTTAAGCGTTAGTGCGTTCTGCTTTTGAAGGGCAAGAATACTGTTGAAATCACAGGCATATGGGACTTGTCAACTTATGGCCCAGGGTGACGGGCGCAGTGGCAGTGCCCCTCAGTTCTTTTTTATTTAAAGCTGCCATTGAGTGTCATTGCAACTGCTAAGAACAGGCGTGTTATTTATCACCAGGATAAGTAATGAAAAAGCTCATATTCTTACCTATTGACAATATGTTTCGCTTCTGCAGTCGCGGGCGTCCGCGTCTCCCGGTCAGTAACCAATTCCACGCCAACGAACAACCCACGACCTCTGACATCACCAATGAGACGGTGTTTATGCTTCAACGCTTCGCATCTGTTTATGAGGTGATTTCCGACACGTTGAGCGCGCTCCATTAAACGTTCCTCTTCAATTACGTCGAGGACTGCGTTTGCGATCGCACAGGAGACCGGGTTGCCTCCGTACTGTAATTGGAATAATTGTTATTTGTTATTAACTATAGTTGTACTCATGACCTTTCATTCAAAACCAGAATCATTATAATCGAGGCCTTCAAATTTGTTTTCACTGGTCAAGCCAGTACAAGCTTATTCAGTCGGTAAAAATATTGAGAACCACGTAGTTGACGTTAAGAGTCTATACACTCTCAAACGGCTTTGGTTTATTCCGCACACATAACAGTCAAAGTGTTGAATTAATCACTTTGGAGAAAATATATAAAATTGGGGATATACACCGATTAGTAAGGTGTGAAAACACGATTCGTAAAAATTTTCACGACAGAAAAAACACAAACTTAGCTCGAAATTTTATAAGGAAACCAATGTTTTTTTTTTTGTGTCAACTGAACTAAATTGAACACGTACATAGTATACGATATACGTTTTTCAAATAGCTTTAGTTTTTGTAGTAAAAAAATAAATTTTGAAATAAAACGTCCCTATGATAATAATAATAAAGCAAAATGAATCGTATAAGTTTCTCTCTTCTTCTTCTTCTTTTAAATGTTATGGCTCCATCGAAATAATCAATGATTTTGCCAATGTCAAGTAAAAATAACTATGTACGGTAGTTTAATATTATTATAAAAATTATACAAAAAAAATGGCGATTAATGTCCTGTTTTCTCTCCTCTTATCATTGACTTACAATTATAAGTCAATGCCTCTTATTGTGTGATTCAAATAAGTTACTACAGATAACATTATTCGTGATTGTCAGAGCGATAAAGGAGATTTTAAGATTGCAGCTCTAATAAAACATTCAACCATAACGAAGAGAATAATGAGAAATCCTCCTTGGTGCCTAAGTTATTGTTGAACTTTGTTTGTTGTTTTTAACCTCCTTTAAAAAAATTCTCAATTCGTCTATATGTTTTTTTATTGTGTATATGTGACGTGATAACTTCGCCATTTGTGAACCGATATTGATGATTCTTTTTAATAAAACCTTCTTCAAGAGAAGCCAGATATTATTTTACAGACATTGTTTTATTTTCATAATTTCACAGGACATTGGCGAAATCGCCATTTTTTTTGTATAATTTTTATAATAATACTAAACTACCGTACATAGTTATTTTTACTTGACATTGGCAAAATCATTGATTATTTCGATGGGGCCATAACATTTAAAAGAAGAAGAAGAAGATGATTCTTTTTTGTTGCAAAGAGGGTACTTCAGAAGTGGTCCCATTTAAATTTGAAGAAAATATTTTACCTCTAACGGTGCCGGTGGTAAACTAGGAGATGAATGACTTTTGAGGTCGGTGTTTTTAACCGGAGGTTAGGTTAGGTTATTTGCTTTATTAAAATAGTCTACCATCACGTATTAAGTAAAGTAACGAGTAATTCACGTACCTAGTTAAGTTGAATTTCTGCTCAACATGTTTCAAACCAGTCCGTCGTTCTTATGTAAAACGTTTTTCCAGTTTTCCTGGTGTAGTACAAGTAGTTAACATGTCTGAGTCTCACAGTAGTTTTCTATTTAAAATTACCATCACGTAGTTTACGAACACCTAACGATACAATATCAGCCACGGTTAAAAAAGGCAAAGTTTATCACCTTGTTGTTTCTATTATTATCGCCTACGTGATACATATCTTAACTTGCAGAAGACTGTGCTAATTAAGAGCGGTTACACACGACGACGATGCAAACGCAATGAAAACGCGATACACGTATTTAATTAATTAACTGATTATTTATTTTACTTTTAAATTTACAATTAACAAAACAATGCAATGTGCATAAACCTATACAGATTTTTTGTGCATAATGATCAACATAAGCGACTGCATCGATACAATCGCCTATAAATATAAAAGTCGCCACGTGCAAGCGTTCTAACGGGTGTTGTTTTAAAACACCTAAATGGAGTTTTCCATTCTACGTGATACACATTTGCAAATAGTGTTGTTATTTATGTGTTACAAGATAGAAACATCTAATTCGATTATATAGAACAACGTAATTTTTAAGGCAGTCACTACACTTGTCGACATGGAATCGCGTTAAGCCGGTCGGAAAAGTTTTTACGTTAATGTAATAAGAGCAAAAATGACGTTGTTCGTTTCGCATCGGCGATCCGAGCTGAAGCGAAACGTGAGACGCCTGTTTTGCTCTTATTGCGTGGATATAACGGAAATGTGGTGTGTCCCTAAAGAGTCGTAGAAATATTATGATGACACTTAGAACTTCAATCCTCGATAATGTTAACCTGAAGGATATTGGCCTAATTTTCTCTTTTCAAGATCTACGAGAATAAATAATCTAGAGCACAGTGTCTCTAAGAAATAATAATAATAATAAATCGAGGCGAAACTTATCGCGCGGTGACCGTCCAGTTACCACGCCTTCATGTACATTAATGGCGAATCTGAATTCTATTTACTAGGCAACAACATTTAGATTCCTCTGAATAATACAACCGCGCGGCCGCCGTGTAGACCAAATTCAAGCCAACCTCGCCCGCGTGCCCAGGACGCTCATTTAGATTAAAACGTAGAAGCTAAACAAATAGAGCGTAATTTGCCATGACAGTTAGACGCACGCGGTCGCTGCGCGGCGACAACGGGGACTCCGCTCTTCCACCGCGCGGCGCCCGGGCGGGGTGAGCTCGGGGTGAGAGGTGAAAAAAATAATAAAGAAAATTACCGTATTAAAGTACTCCACACCGGTGTCAGCAAAACTCTTGGCAATTTCAGGTGTAGTGATAACGGCAGCGACTGGGTGTCCGTTACCCATGGGTTTACCCATGGTCACGATATCGGGTACCACGTCCTGCGTTTCGAATGCCCACATGTGGGTACCGACGCGGCCGAAACCCACTTGCACTTCGTCGGCGATGCAAACCCCATCGGCCTCGCGTACGTGCCTGTAACGAAGACGCACTACGAGTTAGAGATACGTAGAACACATTTCTCTGGGACGTAGACGTAGAACATACTTTTTTGGGAAGTTCACCAGAGTGAATTTCGTTGCACTGTAAATGGACTAGGCAATTGGACTTATTGTCTGGCACATTATTATGATCTATTTTAGACTCTCGCCTCTCCCAAGGCCTAAAAAATAAATTTTTAATTTTTAAATGGGAGAAGAACCGGCGTACAATACGAGCAGGACGGCCTTTATTTGTGTTATAAGCGACACGACACATAAATAAAACCGCCACAAGCTGCTAATTAAGTTTTATTATTATTATTATTATTATGACAAAGATTTTTCTTGAACTCTACTCAAGGTCAGACATTCGGAATGGGTCTAAACCAAGTATTCTGGTTCGGTTGTGTTATTCTGATAGGATGAGAGTGAGTTGTGATGTTGTGTGGAGTTAATCGTCGAACCCAGAGATTATTAGGAATTTTTTGATGGTTATTACTATTATTATTTGGTTTAAGAATCGCTTATCAGTTCGTATATTATTTTCTGTGGTCAAACTGAAATGAATTTTCACACCCCCTTCGAACGCCATCGCTACTGCAGCTCACAACCAGTTGTGATAGACGATCCAATACTCTACATACGCCACTGTTTGCTATAGAAAAGTCTTCTTTATTTGTACGCAACAAAGTTAATTTGCAAATACAAAGAAAAAACCGCATCCTTTGTAAGTTTTCTTGGAACCGAGGATCGATTTAATAGACCTTGATAATTTACAAAATCGATAAGGCCAGTACGTAATTCCATCCCATTGTACATAACTTACCGACAACCAACTCGGATCTCAGATCTAGAATATCCTAAAGTGACCTTTTTAGAGGCGGATCGTGTCCAGTAGTGCTGCATATGGATCGAAAAAATACACTAACTGCTATGACCTTAGGTTTCTAATTTTAAATAACACAAACAAGGGCTTTATATGCAATTACAACATGTTATATAATTATTTGATACTGGTTATAATTAGAACATGAAATCAAGATAACTTTCCATGTTAATATGTGATTCATGTGAACGGATGAATATTTTATCATTGTTATATATCAAACGACGGGACGATCAAGTCGTGCGCCTGATGGTAAACGTCTATAATAGTTGCAGTGCCACTCAGAGCTTCAAATCGCAAAGATTTGAGGGGCACTGCCACTGTACCCGTCACCCTGAGACGTATATTGACAAGTCCCATGTGCCTGCAATTTCACCAGCACCCTTAACCTTCAAAACCGGAATACAGTAATGCTAACATACTTTTGGCGGCAGAAATAGGTAAGGTTGTTGGCCAGACCGGCAAAATGATAGTGACGGAGTGAAGATATTTTTGTTTTCCATCCGTTACTCTCATCTCTGGACTGTATTCGCACGTTCCATCAGGCGCGGTGCAGTCATTTTGCCGAGTCACAATAAAAAAAAAATAAATAAAAGGTGGCAGTACTTCCCTGGACGAAGTATTTCACAAGGAGCTCTACTGCTTACAAAAAACTTATTCAACTTACAAAAACTTATTCGACCCGTCACTTAAAAAAAATATTTAATTCCTTTTGACCCTGTACCATGCCGTTACTTTGTATCATAAAAAAAACTGAAGAAAAATTTACGATATCTTTGGTGACTGTGAAACGTTATTCCTAAGGAGGTTTATATACGGTAGTTTGGTGACAGAACAGCGTCAAGAAAATTGTAACAGACAGGCTTTACAATAATTCTAAAGGAAAACAACTAAACTTACTCAAAAACACGTTTCATATAGCCATTAGGGGGGATGATTTGCCCGCCGCAACTCTGTAGGCTCTCAGCGATGAATGCGCACACCCGGCGTTTCTCTTTCTTCAATTGTTCACAGATCTTGCCCACTTCGTCGGCGTACTTTTGACCTAGTTCTTCCTCCGATTGACCATCATTGGGATAGATATATTTCCCTCTGTAGACGTCCGGGACTGGGGCCTGGATTATAAATAATTCATTAGTCGGTTTAAAGTTTTAAAAAATTTGGAGATCGGCAAAAATATCCTGTCTAACATCAAGTTGGAATTAAGGTATTATATTCACCTGTAAAATCAACTGTGATATTTGTTAATAAAGGTGAAATTATATTCAATGTTCTGGCTTCTGAAGTATTCAAAGTCAAAATAAAATAACTTGTGTCTGTGTTATAAAAATAAATATAATTACAATGGAAACAAAAAAGAGTTTATTACTTTCATTGACCTATTACTTTTCTAGTTTTTTCTAAATAAACGGCAGGTGTATGGTATCGTTTTTAAGTTACTATGAGACGTCGTTGACTCATAACTATGTATTAAATTTCGTGGGGTTTATTTAGAAAACTGGATTATAAATAAAATCAAATACAGGAAGGACCCTATTTGCTTGTTGTGATTTTGTAGAAATTCATATCGAATTCATATTTCTATTTATACCAGGGATATTAATTAAGGCAGTACATACATTACAATTAATTACATAAACAAGAACAATATTGTTCAATAACTGATATGATAACTGTCTAGAAATGACAACGATATAAAAGTAGGTCATCACATAACATATTACTGAACAACATATTATTTTATACGTAAGTTTTAACCCGTTCACTGCCAACTCGATTGAGCTTGGCCATGTTGATTACCATAGCTAAGCTATGTTGAACGCTATGTTGGTGTGGTAATTAATGTGCGAATGGCCATATTGGCTCTGTGCAGAGATAATTTAATTGGGATGATCTGGAGTGGACAAAATATTTGTCAATTATACAACGTTTATATTGTTCTGACAAATTAAGTAGTGTATCATATCATACTATATACCACTTAATTAATACTAGTATTTATTAACACTAATAATTAAGACAGGTATGGTCAATAATTATGTTCAAAAAGTAACGTCAGAACATACGAAATGGCGAACTGCTTACAAGAAGCTACGTATATTGCGCACGGAGCCAATACTAACAAAAACTTGTATGGCCCGGGAATAGAGGGACTAACTCACCACGTGGACCCATTCTGGCTTGTCTGGCCCTCCGGGTAAATTGAATTTGTAGGGAGACACATCAATCATAGAAGTGAGATGGCCATGATACGCGCTGTAACAAACAGGGGCTAGTAGCACCCTAAAACACTTCGAGGAGCTCGAAGTAACGAACGCAAACATACCTACATTTCTCTTACATATTTGTTGGCATTTTTGTACGATTATTATTAGGTACCTAATGGGGTATTTATGAATGTCTTTGTGAACGTCAATGGAACGATTTACAAATAGCTCTTTATTATTCGCGTCAGTTTTTTATTGTTTTCGTGATCATAGCTGCATCAATTTGTAGAGTAATTATGAATATTACTCAAGTAATTGTGCCACAAAAGTTTTAGTAGAAAAATATATTATCGTTCCTATCACATTCAGTACATACTTATGAAAAAAGAGTCAATTAGAAAAAATCATTTGCAATAATGAGCTAATCACAATAGATTTTAAAATAACTATAAGAAATGTGTCACTTTTAAAAACAATATTATTAGCACAAAGAAATGTAATAATGTTAAAATACATGTCAAAAAGATCCTAACGTAACATTCGTAAATACTCTTTAAATATGCAAAACAAAAAAAAATAAATGCCAACAAAATCCATTCAACAGTCTTGCGTACAAAACAAAGGGAGACACTGAAGAGGTTAAGACAGGTTTTTCTGCATAAGAAAAGTTACTTACTGGTCTAGAGTGATAACATCCTTGTTTTTGGTGTGAACTCTTGCCAATCGTAAGGCCAGGTCATTGGCCTCTGATCCGGAGTTGACGAAGAAACAGACCGATAAAGGTTCCGGCAAAGTCTTCACCAAGCGTTCAGCGAGGACCACCAACGCATCGTGAAGATAGCGGTTGTTTGTTGATATTAGTGACATTTGATTACGCCCCGCTTCCACCACGTGAGGGTGACAGTGGCCCACTGTTGAAGATGAAATTTTTTCGTGTAATATTTTGCATTTATAGAGGATATTTTGAAGTATTAAAAGTTCCACGTTAGCCGTCTATAGCTGATAGTCACATAAGAATGTTGATGGTTTTTTTATTACTCTGTCCCACCACTCCTCCCGATATTTATTATTCGAGGTCTTTGATAGTCTTTGTACATACATATATATTTACCAAATTTCTATACATATATTTCTATTTCATCTGCTTTTATGAAATTGTGTAAAATAATAAATTAAAAAAATATATATAAAACTTTAATTTTTAAATGTAACTAAAGGTAATAAAATAAATTAAAAGTCGATAAAATAAATCAATAAATTAAATTAAATGCTTAAATTCATGTTAGCTGACATGCTCTCCAAAAGATTAAATAAAATCTCAATTAACATTGGCTAGGCAACAAACGTTATTTGCTAATTAATGGGGTACTTATTGTATACACCGTCCATATATGCACTATAGTAGGCAGTACCTACAACATCAAGATAACCCTACCAATCTTTCAGACCCGAACATTGTCCCCAAATTCGTAATATTGAAGGGTAGTAGTAAGTAAAATTGAGGAATTACTAGCTACTCGTGTTAACTAAGTGACGCAAAATCTGCGCTTTGGTTATGTACTCGATGATCGCTGACAATGCGAATAATATCATACAAATTGTCACTTTACACTTACATTACACTTTCAACTACAAATTTGAACATTGCGTGAATGGGAATAAGGTATAATTTCCAACAAAGGAATTTGACAGATTGTACTTATATCTCAAGGTGCGTGTACATGTGCACTAACAGTACGAGTACAAATGCACTACAGTAAACACAAAGCTCGTACTGTTTTTATCAAACACATTCCGGTCATCCTATCTGAAACCGGAAATTTTTCAATAAACATTTTCATTGATTTTCCTGTTTTTTTATTTTCATTTTGTAGACGCATTCGACACATGAAATCGTTTTTTAAAAACATTTCAAAAACAGAAAAATACTCAATTTATAAACATATTCAAATTTTTGTTTTTTTTATTAAGTAAACTTATAAATACTTATTTGACAACATAACATAGGTACGTTGCTCTGATTCCAAAGTAAGTAACTAAAGCACTAGTGCTAAGAAAATCGTAAACAACGACGGTACCACAAAAACCCAGACCCGAGACAACATTGAAAAGTTAGTTTCTACATTGACCCGGCCGGAGATCGAACCCGGGACTTCAGAGATGACGACACCATCCAAACCGATGTGTAAGCCCCTCGACCACAGAAGTCGTTGAGTTGTCATCGATTTAATAGAGCTCAAACGGTTTTTTATGTTAAAAAAAATCTTTAAAAGATGGTGACCACGCGGCGGCTTATGATGATATAAAGAGACTATATGTATAACAGTGTATTTTTTGCTAAACATTACTTCTATTATTTCAAATGTAGAAAGCGTCTGCGAAATGAAAAAAAAATGGAACAATCTATTAAAATAAAGTGGTTTTGATGAGAAATTGTTAAGAATATGACGCAAACAAGCGCCAAAGGCCACGTTATAACCGCGCATGTCGATAGAGCGTGGAAACGGCGAATGGACTCGTGATTCATAATCTTATCAAACCGCGTCTTCATTTGCAACCGTACTTATGATCTAGTGCGTTTTCTTATCAGCATATCGAGGGGTCGGAGGCAAAACTCAGTATTGTGAGTTTTCGAAAAAAGCGACCACAAATGTACACTCACTCTACTCACGAGCCAAAAAAAAGCAGATCATACAAATATTCCTCTCAGCCCGGGTATCCACGGAGGCAGTTAATGTGAAATGATAATGTGCCAGACAACTACACCAAACACCGGGTTTCAAACTAGGAAATTCCCTGTACAATGAGTACTAGAGCAACGGAATACACTCTAAGCCACTTGCCAGAACCAATTTCGAAAAGTTCATTTTCCCTACAGACGAAACAAATTTCCCCCAAATGGTCCTACCGGGAATCGAACCACGGAACTTCGCATCCAGCGCCCACAATGTGATTAGGCTATTGAGGTAGGGAGATAAGTTTAAGATAAAATTTATTGTTCTATTGTTACAAGCACAAATATATTGTTGAAATATGATTGCACCACCATCGAGCGAAAATGAAAATGTCTTTACATTTTGTAGGTAAACCTAAGGCAGACACCATATTTATTAAAGCGGAATCGGCTTGAGGCGGTCGGAAACGGCTTTACATCCATGCAATACGAGCGAAAACGACGAGCGTTTCGCTTCCGCACGAATGACGTCTTTTGGCGACATAATTGTAAGTCAATGGGCGACATGATGTCTTTTTCGCCGGCTTAATGTAATTCCGTGTCAACAAGTCTGGTGACTCTCTAAACCATTGATTTACTAAGAACGTAAAGACTCACCATGAGCGACGTTGTTAATGCAGTCGAGATACCGTTCACCCGTCTCATCGTACATGAACTGGGCAACGCCTCGCACGATTTTCAGCGGAGCCGATTTGAAGAATAGCTGACAAGCCGATCTGAAAGTAAATTTTTCATTAATATCTTATTCGTAGCGTTGCCAACTGCCGAATACATACTAAATTATTATTTAAAACTAATATTAAATTGTAAGAGCCGTTTTACAAAACCTAGCTTAAAAAATTACCTTAATTATGGCGTATCACTAACAGGTCACAACTCTGTATGCAGATCGATACCTCCAATGAACACTGCGCCAACCTTATTTTTTGGTTATTTTCTGTTATTTTTGTAAACAGCCATATTTATTTACTAATATTATGGTTCCAAAATGTTGTGATAAAAAAAATAAAGAAACAAAAACGAAATTCGAAAAAAAACCAAAAAAAAAACTAATTTTGTGAAAAAAGAAACAGAAATAAAATAAAAACAGAACAGGTCCAAAAAATAAGTTGGCGAAGTGTTCCTTGGAGGTACCGAGATCACAATTATCATCAACATATTGTAACTGAACTACATAATGATGGCACAGTTCTGTACACTAGTAAGTAAAATGATTTGATATTAGTGTTTTTAACATAATAAACAACAAATATGACTTTTTATAGTAAAAAAAATCTGATTATTGATGTCAGTTGTGCCCTTTGTTGTGCTTGCAGTATACTCTACAATTATTGAGAAATATTTGTACAAAAAAAATAGATAGGCTGGTCTTTTCTTCCTGATTTCGAATGTATGTAACACAATTTTGATAAAAATGTTAGTTGTGCATTATTACTACTAATAAGTACACATTCACAAACGTAACGTAACTTTGAAATTAAAGACTTCTCAGCTGAAAAGCGCCGTTATTTAAATGAGTATAAAAGTTAGATTGTGAAATTTTGCAAAAAAAAAAGTAAGTACATTGTCATAATAAATATTTGTCCGAATTTTGTGCAAGGGTTAAAAAGATAAATTAAAAATATTAAATCAAATAGTGCAACTCACCCAACATGCTTTTCACGTAGCTTAATAGTTTCAGATTTAGGCATCGATTGAAGGTAAGCCATTGTTGACTAGAATATTTCTTCAATTCTGAAAAATATGAATATTTAATTTAAAAAATCACAAAACAAAAACACATAATAACAAACGCTTAGATAAAAACAGTTACGTATGTGAATAGTAAATTATCTATAAGTTAATAATAAGCGCTCCTTACTCACCTTACAAATAAAATGTATAAATAGAATACTGAAATAGCGAATTTTATTATTTAGGCAAAGTGACGTACGTCACGTGGGACGTTTGAGCAAGTAATGCTGAGGAACGAGCGGTGTGAGCCAGTTTTATAGAGGCGGGTACGCGCAAGCCCCCCGCACGGCCAATGGAATCTTCGTTATAATATGGCTCTAATGTAAAGTGTATGACAAAGTCGGGGGCCACGCGGTCGACGCTGCAAGAACATGGGGCTAATGCATGGCAGTTAAGGGTAAGACTTGCATACGTTGGGTGATTGTTCTTGAACGTAAAATTTGATTCTCTACACGTCAATAAAACCGTCGTTAGAATGTTGTAAAAACTAACTAAAATATATTTAGTTGACTAATTACTTAATCGTACTCAAATTGAGACACGCTTTATGTGAGCTAGTTCTGGCCAAAATAGTCCTTATTCAAAAACATGAAATTATTTTTTCTCTTTTAGTTTTAAAAATGTATATTTGGCAAGTAGGAAATAACCTATACATAAATTTACGCAGATCTTTCACGGGAAGCTAGTAATTAGTTTTTCATCGATTCTGAGAAAATACACTTTTTGAGTTAATACACTATTGTTTTAACAGTGCGATATATAATAAAATGAACGTTTTTTGTTACATGGACTAGACTCGATTTAACAGAATTTGTTCTACGTATTTTGTGTGAAATAAGTAAAATTTTACGGTATTTATATGAATTATTGTAATCCCACTATTTACCTAGAAATTTCATGTACTAAATGCTTAAATTCATTTTGTTGGCTTTTAAGTTTCAGCGTCTAGCGTCAAGAGCACACCAAGCTTGACACTGTACTTTGGACCGTTCTTATCATAAGCGGCATAAAGTTGGATTTAAGTCTTAAGTGTAAGCTTAACGTGCTCTTGACCCTGTATACTTAGCTAATAGCCCTAATCCAGAGCGACACTATCGTGTAATCTTTTATTTCTAATAAACGTCAATGAGCTAAATGGTATCAGAACAATTAACAATATTTTAATTAAACATATCGGTTTTATCAGTATATAGGTAGTGTCTTTATTTACCTATAAGAAAACAATTTTATTAGCTTTTGAGATTTTCTAATAAATTACACATTTTTTTAAGGTAACAACTCGAGTTTCTTGTCATTAATAGAAAATTTAACAAATCTTCTGAAAATATTTAAATTAACCATAATGTATACATACAGTCAAAAATGTTATTTCATTTAAATAAAGTTATTGAGCCCATAAAACTATAATTGAATGTAATAAAAAAAATTGCCACGCTAACAGCACAACTCGGAACGCGTGAGAAGACAATGTTTTCTTGCCATTTGCGGCAATTTTACATTATTGACTTTTTAACTATTATTACTATCCAAAATTAGATAACAAACCCGGTGAAAAGGGTGACGTTTCTTTGTTTACCTACGTAACACGTCATGTGGTGTACTTAGGGTCGTATTCCAGAACTCTACTCAATGCTCAAGTCAGGATTTGAGCAGACTTGAGTACGATTTCAAGCACTGAAAATACGACCCTAATGGTAAGGGCTTGAGAATGATTTTCAGTGCTCACTGCAATACTCAAGTCCTGACTTAAGCATTGAGTAGAGTTCTGGAATACGACCCTTAGTGTTTGCACAACAAATAAAAAATATTGCAACATAGCAGATTTAAAAAAAATAAAAATAATTATACATACATTCTTTCTAACTAGATTTTAGTTTTTTTTCTTATTGTCCGATAGCCTCTTCTTTTTTAGGTTACTATTAGGTTAGGGCCATTTTTTTTCTCAATATGATATCTCATATTAACTGCCTCCGTGACCGAACGGTAAATATGCTGGTCTGCCACGCAGAGGTTGCGGGTTCGATCCCCGGACCAGGAGAAATATTTGTATAGCCTTCATTTATTTCTCTCGTGAGTTTGTGTTTCCATGGCACCAGCGATACAGGGTTGTCGTTATGCGGGGCTATGAGTGTGTGTATTATTTGTATCACCTGTTCTCTTCTGCACTTTGTTTTGTCGTATCGTAGTAGGAAATTGAGTTATTAGTAATTACACCCAATTCGGTGTAATTACTAATAACACAATTTGTTGGAACTACATTTTCTTTACAATGATGATGTACTGAACTACTCCTTAACTAGTATTTACTCAACAACGTCGACAATTGTAACGTAATTGGTTTTAGCCGGTTTGTACTGAATAATTCAAACAACGCTATTAATTACATGATAAAAAAACCTATCCGATCCACAGGAAGGGAGACATGTGGTAAGGTTTACCTCGGCGTTATATACGATCACTTTGAAGTGTGAATGACCGTTATGTACTCGATGCAATGATGACCCGAATAAAAAGTTGAGTATGATAAGACTGATGCAATTGGATAAACCGAAAGGGGTATATCACGAGCGTAGCGGGTGGTAGTCTCTGTCCATCGTAGTGGTAGATTTAATATTTTCATTAGCAAGCACCTTACAAAAGAGTTCGTCCAAGAAAGTACTGCTGCCCTATCTATTTCTTCCGCCAAGCAGTAATGTGCTGTGTAAGGGTGCTGGTGAAATTACAGGCCCGGCATGAGACCGGGCAACTTATGTCTCAGGCGCAGTGGCAGTGCCCCTTAGGCCTTTGCGATTTAAATCTCTAAGCGGCACTGCACTGTTATGGACACTTAACACCAGACGCACGACTTGTCCTTCCCGTCACTCGGTATCATAAAGAAATTTCATTTTAATGTCTTAACTTGAAATTGTTTCCAAGACATTTCTGTTATATAGTATCTTTGATGAAACTGTTCAAAACGTCATTGAGAAGGCAAATAATAATAGTGATTAATAACATGATAAAATTACAACAATACCCTTATTTGCCAACGATACCCCAGTTGACGTATGTTCGTTAGTAAATTAGTTTGCCAAGATAACGTTATAATTAGTACAGACAATATTAAAAATTGTAAAATGCAAAAAAAAGTGTTAAATGGAAAGATAAAAAAGGATTGGTTATTTCAATGTAGGCAATCGATAATGTAAATTTATCTAAAGAAGATTTTCACAGCTGATATATTGAGATTGTAAATTTTCCGTTTAGGGTGCCTTCAAATTAACGCTTATGGAAACGCTGCAGTGGCGCCATTGTGGCGCTGCAACTAGTGGGTCATGGAAAAATTCCATTTTGAAAAAATGGTATTTTTCAGAACAATAAATATTATTCCGGATATTTTTCCACATTTGTCGTTGACACCTGTCAAAAGTTAAAATTGCTGAACGAAAACGAAGGAGCTAGGTTTTTCTCGCTGTTGCCCAATCATTTTTAATCTCGTTTTTCTCAACTTACTTTTAGCTATACAATTTTATTTTATAATTCACTATAAGTAAAACTTCAAAAGATATTTCTAAACGAAGAACATAATTTAAGCCTTTGAATTATATTTTTCTAATATTTTTAAATTTTTCCAGTTTTTCAGTATTTTTTCCAGAAATCGAAATTTTTCGGAAAATTACCCAACAGTAGCCGCTGCCGCGTCACTACTAATTTTCATACAATATTTACAAACGCAGTGACATACGCGCGCCACTTTTGCAGTCACAATATTAGTGAATTAAAAATTACTGAAGCGCTATAGATGTGCGGCAGCCGCGTCAGTCTAGCGTCTAATTTAAAAGCGGCCTTAGATTAAAAAAAAATCGATGGGTCAGTAACATCACCTCGCGTTTTATTTTCTGTAGCTACGTGTCTTGATAAGCCTCTTGATTTTATATTTGATCCTTGCGTCATTGATCTACACAGATATACAACGTAGTAGATTTATAATTTCATTTGTCGGTAAACATGTTTCTTTTTTACAGACTGTACTTCTAATAAAAATAGTAACTTGTTTGTAGTTTACAGTTAATTATGTCATATAATTATATTTAACTAATTATAATACCTTTAATGTTATTGGTCTACAAATATTTCTTGTTTAGTTAAAATTATTTGCGGAACTTTCCATCCTGGACGAGATGTTTATTTATGACTTTTATGTACAGGTTGATGGGTTAAAATATATCGCACGTTGAAGCAAAATTGTCTCCAAACGAAAAAAAATAATAAAAAAATGCCGTTATTGTTTCTGAAAGTTTAAATTTGAAACGCGAGATTTTCGATACTTATACATATTATTATATAGTCGTTATGTTGCGGAAAACGAATTAGTTTTTTTTTTTAAATAAAAATCGTGGAATCATGTGTTACAAATTAACGTGGCTGACCATATGGTATTTGTAAGAACTTTTTTTCCATGCCCCGCACCAAGGAAACCCTTGTATCGCGGGTGCCATGTACACACACAAAGACCCACAAGTCGCATCGAAACTCACGAGTGAAATAAATGTAGGCCATACAAATATTTCTATATAGTTATAAAGAAGAACTCACCAAGTTTCATATTAGGGGAATACTCCTGCTGCTCCAGCTCTTAAAACCATCAACCAGCTGTTAAAATCTTGATGTTTGCAGAACTGCAATCAATGACAACTTAAAGGCTGGATGGACTGGACAGTCGACATATCATTTCAGTCGAAAAACGTCCGCTGCTGCTGCAATATCGCCATTACTAACGGTGCTCGCGGATTCACGCAACCTTCATAAGCCTGTGTCGGGCAACTTTATGGGCGCCTGCCCATGCTGCATCTTCGAGCAAGCGGTTGCCACACAAGAACTTCGGCGTACTTAAGCTAAAGCTACAGAAATCTAAATAAATAGAAATCTAAATAAATAATGCCTATTTATTTAGATTTCTGTGCCTAAAGCAATTAGTTTACACACGCATTTCAGGGATTCTACATAATACCTATGTAGATATATCTTTTCTAAGTCTGGGAAAAAAGAATGTAGTAAATCAGTGCTCACAGCATGTTCTGTCGATTTAATTATACAGACGATCGGATAAAATTAATTTGACAGGTAATAAGAACAATGTAGTGAAAAGCAGATATGATTTTTATTCACTACAATTCTGACGTTTTAGAGTGAGACCTTTATAGTGTACAATTAAGTTTTCTATTTACTTTTATTGATCCATTAGTTTAATATAGCTTTATGAAATGTTTAAATTACAAATAATTACAGTCTTTATAAAGGTACG